CAATAAAACGAAGTTGCTCCGCAAGATGCCAAACATGAGTGATGAAAATATCCGGATCCGTTCCAGGTACCATGGTCGCTGATTCCAGCGCACGTTCCAGGTTCCGTCTCCGATGTTCGTCCGCTGGCTGGAATTTTGCTTCGAGTTCTTTCCAAACAACCAGTCCGCTGCCACTCGATTCGTCCACAAGTGCATGTCGCAAAACATATTTTGCCGGCCCAATCAATAGTCTACATGATACAGTATGTATTTTGAATAACTGGGAGTCGGCCACTGCGTAGTTGTCCAGTTCTTGCTGGTTCATGACAATACGGGAACGTCCCGTTAATGAAGACCGGCGAGTTGTGGACCTCGCACGTGATCCCTGTCGACCTTGTGAAGAGCGCTTCGGTGGTGGTTGATCCTTGATTAGTTAAACAATGGTCTCGGCTTGAGTTGCAAGTAGCGCAGTAGTATCCGCTGATTCTTGTATCGCTCTTGTAATGTGCGTCTGTGCTTCATTAGCATCATCAAGCACTTTCTGTGCGATGTCCGCCTTCTGTCGAGCTTCCGAAGCGGCTGACTCCGCTGAACCCAACGTTAGTAAAGCGTCTTCATATGCTGCGTCCTGCCCATCTCGGTCTTCATTGTCTTCACCATCTTCTTCATGTTCTTGATCTCCAACGTCCTGATCTCCATCATCTTGCTCGTCGTGTAGTTCGTATATAGGACCCGGTCTCCAGAAGTTTGTTGATGTCTGGCCGATACAAGGCCAGAGTCCTTCGCGTTGTGTATTTCCATTCAGAGTATTCCTTATCCCGTCCATTGAACTTGTGCAGGCTCCTCAATAGTTGGAAATGTTTACTGTCTTGCGCCATATTTGGTTCTTGGTGTTCCCGGTTCCAGCTGCTGCTGCCAATCTTCTTCCTCTTCCGTGTCAGTTTGACTCGACTTGTTCCTCCGTTGAAATCCCTTGCTCAAATGATAAGGCTTCTTGCTCAAATGATGAGGCTTCTTGCTCAAAGGATGAGGCTTCCTCTTGCAGAACTGTACTATCCTTGGTGTTGACGACTTCGAATTGTAGATGCAGGTGGCCAAACCTGGCACTATTCTTGTTTCCGCGCTCTCTCCGGTGCTCAGAGGGGCGTACTTGTCGTTGTTCGAGCTCGGTTCGTATTCCAGCGACACCCTATTTGCCGAAGTGCTGTCCACGCTACCAGCTCGCTTCAGGGTTCGGGGAAATTCCGTTGACCTCGAACTGCTCTTTCCTTCCAGCGCGATCCCTTTGTGAAGTGCTGCCCCAAGTTACCAGCCCGCTTCAGGATTCGGGGAAATTCCGTTGACCTCCAACTGCTCTTTCCTTCCAGCGCGATCCTATTGTGAAGTGCTGTACCAGTACCAGCCCTCTTCAGGATCCGGGGAAATTCCATTTGAACAGTTCTTGTCTTCCAGCTCAACCTTTTTGTGAAGTGCTGCCCAAGTTACCAGCTCTCTTCAAGGTTCGGGGAAATGTCGTACAGTCCCTTCTTTCCAGCGCAACTCTATTGTGAAGCGCTGACCAATCCACCAGCTTAAACTTCAGAGTTCGGGGAAAATTCCAACTGCAGCTCTCCGTGTCAGCCTAGTGCGTAGTAAGACTGCTGAGTTCTTCGGCTTCACGGCCTACTTCGTGAGATGCGAATGTGTGCCGGCAACCCACACGGTGAAACCTAGATGTTTGATGTGTAGACGTATCTCGTGTCTTGGCTGAATTTCCTCTTGCTGCTGATGATGAAGCTCCTTCTTCCTGTTGTCAATGCAGTGACTCCTGCTGCTCTCGATGAAGGAAATTTTGTTGAACCAGCTACCGTGTCACAACCGTGTGAAGGGTGGTCTTGTGCAGCTGCGCTGCCCACTCTGTCAGGACGTAGACCCGCGCTGATTGGAGATCTTCTTCTACCGGTGGGGTTCTCGCGTGGTTGTGACGGGATCAGCGTCACCAATTCCACCGAGACGTCGAGTGAATTGAGCCGGATCAAGACTCAAATTTCACCGACAGCAATTCTCGGTTACACGTGCCGCTTGGTTCCCTGAGCAACGTCGCCGTTCCTGGTGGCGCGGGGCGGCAGCCTTCGCCACTCCTTGCCTTGGAGCAGCTGCAAGCGCCGCCCGTGTTGAGGCAAAGGGGGCCGAGCCAACGGCACAAGAGTGCTGTGTAGAAATGTGTCGTGTCGAGGTGCCCTGTACCCCAAGGGTCGTCTGCAGGCGGTTGAGCCTTTGTGCAGTTCCAGATAGAAGTCTGTGTGATGTGCAGACCGAAGTCTGTGTAGACTGAAGTCTGTGTACAACAACAAGTCTGTTGAGTGAGGCAGTGACCGACAGACCGAAGTCGATGTTGTTGCTGAGTGCCGCTTGTGGGACTTGTACTTTCTTCTTTAGTCAGCTTACTTGCAGAGGTGAGATGTTGAGGTATAGTTGGGAGTGAGTCCGGTGGGGCTCGCAACACCTCGTGATCTCTCTACAATTCATTCTCATGTCATCAACGAGCTCCTCGCTACAACGCGTCGCTATATATATGTTACGTTCTACCAAGCGTCACTGATTTTACCGCATCTACGTACCATTGCGTACAGCAATCATCCAGCTGTATCTATGCTACTACACACGTCCTACAGCAGTAATGCGCTGTATTTCAACATTCTGCAGCTGGCGGACGTTAGTGGAGGACATCACGCGGAGACGGCAGAGAGAAGTAGCGCGCGATACGTGTGTTTGCGCGGTATGGGCGTTGCTACCGTTCGCCGGTCTTTTTTTTTAGGTGGTCTGAGTAAAGATAACATGTAAATCTAGTCGGATTTTTTTGGCCTTCGATAGAGATCAGATCACCATTTGGGCAGCGCGTTTGGGCAGGACGGCTCGCTTCGAACCCCACACCCGGCTGTTAGGGGTGGGGGGGGGGAAAGCGTGCCCAATGTGTGGAACCCTCGTACTGCTGGTTTTGTAACACCTTTTTTTGTTTTTACTTCCGGGCGTCGGCGAGACGCAAGTACCGCAAGTACCCTCCCGGGGGCAGCTTAGGGCCGCGTGTGTACGTACCATGTTTGTGCTTGGTTTCTTCTCGGCGACAAGCGCCTTGTCGTGTGACCACTGGCTCCCACGGATGTCTTACAACACTGTGTAGTTTAGAGCTATTCTACATACTTCCTCTTATCATTAGTTAGGGTACCTAAATGCAATAGATTGTCTGGGTGCAACCGTGTTAGTAGTGATGGTAGCATAGTCGGGTTTGTAAGAAAGATATAACAAGAAGCGATAGAAAAAATAAAATAAAAAAACGAACATCTATCTCTGTACCTAATATCGGTCAAAATATACCCTATTTTGGCCTGTTTTGGGAATATTTTTGAGAAAATATATTGGGATTGTTTTTGAGAATTCTCGAAAAAAATCTCAAAACCATCTGATATTAGTACCCTACCGGCCCACTACTCACTCTAGCGATGGAATCGCCCCCCAGCACACCACCTCGCAAAAGGGGCACCGAGTTATCGGTTGGTAGGCGCTATGCCATGGCGGTAGAAATTGCGATGGGCATTCAGCCGGGGTTGTCAACGATTCCCAAGGGCGTGCTTGACCCGATCTGCGAACGCTACGGTGTCGGAAAGAAGTACCCGTCCAAGTGTCTTGATTTTAGTGTGTGACCCCCAAGTGTCTTGGTTTTAGTGTGGCTCACTACTATAGTGCTTTTATTATAGGAGGCGCGACATGAATCGTTGAGTAGAGGGGGGGGTTGGATGAGGGCCCTACTGTTGCTTGCTTTGCCCCGCAAGTGTCTTGGTTTTAGTGTGGTCCCCCCAAGTGTCTTGTTTTCAGTGTGGGGGCCACTATTATGCTGCTTTTAGTATAGGGGACGCGTCATGGATCGTTGAGTAGAGGGGAGGCTAGGTTTAGGGTCAGGGATAATTCTTGGTATTTTTGCCTTGTTTTTGTCATTGCCCCGCCCCCCCCGCCTGGTCGCCTGGTCGGAGGGGGCAGAATACATGCAAAATACGGCCTTTTTCAGGCTGACTGGTTTTTTCTCGGGCGCTCATGCACGCGGGGTGGCGCATGCATAAAAAAAGAAAGTTGTTTTTCTTTTTCTTTTACTCGCTCTCAGTTAAAAGTTATGGAGGGACAACCAAAATGGGGTCCTTGAAAATTGCCACTTTAGCTGTTGACTCACGGCTCACACGGTTCGGTTGCAATCTGCAATTTATGGACAGCTGTGTGAGGATGAAACCCATGCTTGAGCACCTCTTTGTTGGGCTTTTTTAGCGCAACTGTGTGGGTGACGAAAGCGCCGCAACACAAAAACGTTAGTACTCCTACTAGTAGTTTTAGGTGTGACCACGTCGTCTTCCTTGAGGGAAATGACCGTCAGGTATCTCTACCCTTTGCACGATGACATCGCGGGCTGGCCGTCTCCCGGTCGCACTCAACTTTGACGGCAGCCCGTCCCTCTTGGAGAAGGTGTGTGGGCTGAGCGGTTGAGTGTCGAAAACATGCGTAAACCGTCCGAGCTTGCCGAGCGATTGAAGAAAAAATGGCAGCCTCTCAAACGACACACCAGACCAAAAAGTATCGTCGCCATCGCCGACCGTGAACTACCCTGGAGCATGCATGTACACACTGTCGTCCGCGTCTGTTGCCAAACGGAAGTCATTCCTCGACGCCACCGATGGTACCTCGCTCTTTTTTCTGGCATTTAATCACACGTAACTCAATCGTAACCCACTGTTATCTTCCACCAAAATCCACAAAAAAAACACAATCACCCCAAATCTACTATATTCATCGAGCCCACCCTGGCGAAGCTCGTCCGGAACCTTGTCGATCATCATCACAATCGCAAGGGGCGAAACGAATAATCTTTTGCGACGGGCTGTGCTATTGAATTTACAAGCAGCAACCGCTGGCGGCGGCGACAGCGGGGGCAGCAAGGAAGCAAACCCGGATCCTCTGCGGTACAAAAGCGGTCACTATTATAGGCTAAAACCCTTCCACACATACATACAAGAGCGGACAAGACACAAAAGAAAATCATCGGCAAGAAAAAAATGTCGGACGCACGCCTGCCATCATATACTGGATGCCTTGTTTCGACAAGACAGCCGACGGCGGCATTTGCATGCAAGGAACCCGGTCGGCAAACAACCACGGCGCCCAGGAACAAGCGTCAACCCCAACCCCAACCGATGCGTAGACCGCTCGTTGGCGCTGGGTCGCGAACAGCGACCGGACGCTCTCCTGACAGAACAGTGCTTCACTCACGCTCCCTCGCAAACCTTCAATCGCGGCGCAACTCTGGTGCTGGCTTGGGGGGTCGAGACACAACCTACCCATCCCCTAGCAAGTTAAGAGAGAGACACTGACCTTAGCCAGGGCCAGCACCTACCAAAGATCGACCCCACATACACGGGGTCCGAGACACCCTTTCATAGTGTTCGACTCCCAACTCGTTCCCCCTGCGAACTTGGCGGTAGAACGTTAACTTTTCAGGCCTTTTTTTTTGTACACATGACCATGCACCTGGTCGAAAACGATGATGCCAACAACATATGGGGGATAAAATACTACTGCTGCTGAAGAGCAGTTAGGTGGAGGTGGCCAGGCCGATCTGGGCGTTCCCGTAGTCGAAGACCGTGTAGTACTTGCGCATGAAGACGTCCCCGAGGATCCAGAGGGGGCCCATCGGCTCGGGGATGTCCATGCCCATGATGGCCAGGATGCAGACCTTATCGTTTCCGGCGCTGATGACGTACTCGTCTCCCTCGAGGGTGTACTCCTTGCCGCCGATGGTGAACGTGAGCGGGGGAAGGTCGCTCGAGCAGGGCATGAGGTACTCCCCGTTCATGAAGCTGATCGCGCCCTGTAAAAACAGTCAAAACGATGAACACAACGGGGTAAGGGAGATAACCACCGCGACGTGAATCATGTCCTGCCGCAAAGCTCCTCTGGTCCAGCAGCCAAATAGCTGCAATGTCCTACAACACACAAGAAAATTGAAAATTGCACCGCTTTGCTGACCGTCTTCCTCGGTGTCTGACTGCCCACCAATAGGACAAAACTGGGAATACCAGAAAAATTAAAAAAAACAAAAAATAACAACGCGAAAGCAGCACACAATACATGCCACCAAGAACGCAAAATACACGGAAGCAGCACGCAAGCAATATCAACACGCACAAGCTGGATGGTTGTAGGTGTACCAAAAAACACTGAAAAGTGTGGTGCTCTACATATATATAGTATAATACATGTCTCACCACCAAGAGTTGGGGGACTGTCGCCAAAATAAAAATAGCATAGGACAAAAAAAAACACACCCACAAGAAACGCACCACTTTGCTTGCAATCTTCTTGACGTCTTCCTTAGGCCCCACGAGGAGAGATGTTCCTGAGTCGAGGATAGCAGACTTGACCGAGGTCACCGAGCTGCCGGAGACGTCGACGTTGTCCATGTCGATCTGCCAGTAGCCCTTCTTAGTGACGGGCACGTAGCTGATCAATTCATCCATCACAACAAGCAAGAAAAATCGATCGACACAGGAGCGAGGCGAAGAAATATATTTATTGATTGCGGCAGGTTTCAGGTCACGTCAAGGCCATCACAACCGGGTATTCGACACTTAGATAGCAATACGCGGCAGGAGCGAAGCGATGAGAGATTGATTGGACTGCCACCTGAAACAACAGAGTGTCTTCCGATACGGTACTTCAATAGCAACACTGCCGGTGACTCGTCATTGCAGCAATTGACATAGATGCAATAGAAACTCCTCAAGCACCCCGTTGGGGGACGCCGGAGGTACAAACTTAGTACAGACGAGTATAGAGATCACCAACCCCAAAACATTTGCAATCCCGAGAAAGAGACGGTGCTTCGTGGAATCTCCCTCGTCGCCCACGCGAGCTACAATATATCAGCAAATCATAAACGAAATAAAGCCGCCGCCGCTGAGCAAGTGTGTGTCCTCTCGCTGCACAGTCCGCTTTCGAGACGGCAAAACACCGAAACACGGATACGGAAGACGCCTGTGGACACCAAAACACACAAGCAAAGGACACGAGGAGCATTGTTCCTGCTCGAGGAATCGACTCAACACCCAACCGACCGCTTCAACCGCCCGCCATGAATTCTCAAGAGATGACAGAATGATGTCAAACGACCAATTCATCCTGTAGTTCTTTGCAACGCACTTGATTTCATGGAGGTAGTGGTCCGGGTCTGTGCCTCCGATGATTAGCTCTCCCTCCTTCTGGTTCCCGAGGTAGAACGCGAACACCTGACATTGGGAAGAAAAGACATGGGTGGGTTTTGTAAGAAACGATCCCTGATGGCATTTCGAAAACGGTTGGAAGTGTGTGGTGCGTTCCGTCTGCGCTGCTGTACCACCCACACAGAAACAATCATAATCCAGGGAGCAAATACAGCATCAGACCACGTTCCAGACAGAGCACTTTGGAATGCCGCGATGGAGATGTGGTGTCCATTCCCACTTTCGTACATGGACCTCGCACACAACGGCAAACATCGTTCCAGCACGCTTCCCGTACATGTCCGACACTACAATATCAGCGCCGTGTCCACGATCTCACGGTGAAGTGCGGCGATTCGTTGCTTCCTCCTGGCAAACTCGTCAAAAGAAACCGGACACGATTCTCGAAACCTCGCTTAGTGCAGTGACTCCATCCAACGTCTGGACATCCGTTCACACCAAAGAGTCTTGACACCATCACCGACGAGACCCAGAACTCCTGCAGTAGCAGCAGCAGTAGCATCTAAAACTAATCTGCTTGCTGTAACCACGATTCCTATTACCACCGGAAAACTGTTCAACGGAAGTAGAGAGCACCAAAAGTCACCAAAGGCCAAGGCCCTCTTACGCCTGCCTACACACGTGGAAAAACTGAAAGTGCGATACGATACGATACAGTTCGATTCGATCAACAAAATAATCCAGCAGTGCCAAGAGAGGCCGACGTACCGCATCGTCGAGCTCCCCCTCCTCCACAAGCCTCCCGAAGGGGGTCGGAACTCCCTCAACGCTGATCTCGTCGAAGGCGAGGCCCATGATGCCATCGAACTTGCCCAGGATGAACGCCAGACCAAGCCCCTTGGCATCTTGCACCTGTCCAGAGCAGAGCGTAGAGCGTACGAGCATTTTAGGGGGTAGTCGCGTGGGTAACAGGAGTGAGGATACACGCCAGGCCGAGACCGAGACTGCTTTTGCATGTTTCCCCATCGGCGAGTCAACACGGGGAGGGGGGCGATCGAGACGGTCACCGAATTGGGGTTAATACACGCCAGGCCATGTGACACTCGTTCATTTGGTCAAGATTACCAGATTGCACGTGTCGTCCAAAACTCCAAAAACATTTCAACACCAACAAGAAAGCACCAACCAATGGGGGAGGGGGGGGGGGGGG